ATTTGATACCTAGAATTGATAACAAAAACGTTCTTTCTAAAACGTATTTACCTATTTACACTAGTGCTAATATGATACTAATTTTAATATGTTTAACAAAAAAAAATGATCACAAAATTGTCTGTAAGTTAAAATATCATGTTGAATGTACGTGCATATCGCGTAACTTGCGCATGCACACACGCGCGTGCGCAGTGCACGCGTGAGTGCACAAACAAGCGTGCGTGTATGTACGTACGTATACACACACACACACACACACACACACACACACACACACATATATATATATATATATATATATATATTTGAAATGTTTTACACACGATGACAAAGAGTTGTCACATAACCTAATATCACAATCAGCAAGAAGAAGAATAAAATAAGCTGAAAAATTTGGATTCAAGATGACGACGGAATGGCACTTTCTGCTTTCTCTTTGTATGTGTTTTCTCAACGTATAAAAATACAATATCTTCGAAAAACCTTCTGTACACTATGAAATTTCTATTTAACGTACTCTAACCTTGTATCTTTATCAAATAAGTGTAATCGCTACCTTGACTCTAAAATTCTACAAACACATTCGAGTAGAATGTTCATGTCTCGTCTTTCTCTCCCTCACATTCTGTCTCTCTCTCCCTCTCTCCAAAAAAAAAAAAAAAAAAAAAAAAAAAANGGATTGATATCTAATACATACAAATTTTCGATCACAGTGTCCGGCGATCTCTATAACGTGAGATCTATGCTTATTTCTTAAACTTCGTCTATAACTCCGTCTCAATATGTGAGATAGATTGGTTTCTCGATAATATTAATTATTATGTATCTATTAACTACATCTTCGAGCTGGGCTAGAAGTTGGCCGTTTGCGCCAGCACGCTGTCACGTTTCGATACGCATGAAATCAAACACTTTGTCGCAGTGTTACGATAGCGTTAATGGAAACGGAGAGTACATGTTACTACATCAAAGTATCACCGAGTGCGGTACGTTGTGTAACGTTATTTAAACACGATACTATTCTCTCTCTCTCTCTCTCTCTCTCTCTCTCTCTCTCTCTCCCTCTCTTCCTCTCTTGCTTCTTGTGTGGTCGGTGACTACCACTAAATCCCTCCCTCCCACTTTGAAAGAAAATACCCCGCCCACCCACGCTTTTTTGCTTGTCGGCCAATGCTTATCTCTTGTCGTTCTCATTTTGCTTCGACTCGCTCTCTTCCCGCTTCCTTCCTCTATTTCTTCCTCCCTACATATTTCATCCCTCGTTATCCCGTTGTTGAGGCTAAAGGCAGCGTACGCATCATCATTCTCCCCGGAAACATGACGATGATGGCGACGACGATTGCAACATCAACGACGACGACGACGACGATGATACGGTAACGACAACGATGTTGATGAGAAGAGGCCGTGGTTTCACCCACCCATCCCATCTGCCCATTGTTTCCCGCCCAACCCCGTTCGGCCTGTCGCATTGAACGGCCTTCTGAAAGAAACGTAACATCTCTGAATAACGACAGCACGAAACACTCGCTATTTACACTATATACTTTGTGTGTACGCGTACGTATGTGCGAGGATAGATCGAAAAGCTTCCGACCTAATCGAGAAAGAGTAATTAAGTGCCATTTTGCAACAAATTTTTAAAATCAGCCTCGATAAAAACTATAGATTTATTTATATATTTTAAGCATCTATTACGTTCTTGTGTTTCGGATGAAACGTATAGATTATACGGTTGGTGCCGCAAAACATAACAGCAGCAAAGAATTCTGACGCCAATGGCGATATCTCTGCTGCAGTTTTTAATATTTCAATATTTTTAATATTTTTTAGTACAGATTTAGCATTACATTAATAAAACTTCATATAACATACTCCATTTCGATAACCAGAATACTTTCCGAGAAAAATATTCATGAATATAGACAGCCTCAAGCAAAAAAAAATAAGTTACCTTTCCAAATTTATCTTTGGATAACCTCACATACAGGTTGTCCCAGGAGGAAAGATCAATATTCCGAGAGGTGATAGCAAATATGTTCATACGAACGTGTGTCCTATTTGACTTTGTTTCGGAGATATTAGTGATTGAAAATGACCATGCATGACAGACATTAATGTATTGAACCTTGAGCCTCGAACCTGTTATAACAGCTGCTATATACTTACAGATTGGGATACTTTAAATAAAAAAGTCTTTCACTTTGCGAACAACACGCAAATTTTTGAGTTATTAATTAAAGAAAACTTTACACGTGGCCATTTTTAATCACTAATAAATACACGTGTTGGTGTGAACATTTTTGCTAAAGACGACTCAAGTGACCGTGACGCTGACCAAGTCATCTTTTCACTTACCGCGTTTAGTCGGAGCTGCTCAAACCCCATACATGTTATTCAGCCGCTCGTTAAGTTGCGGTGGAAACTGATCGGCGAAACGTTTCCAATTTTCCGCACCGACTTGATTCTTGAACGTGTGCAGTATCTAAATACAGAAAGAAAGGACAAGCAAAGTAAATAACGAGTTGCGTGCTTATTTACTATAGCATTAATTGTTGAAATTCGCGTTTAAATCAACATTGCATATCTGTATCTTATTAGACTGGTGGGATATGGCACCAGAACAGAATCAGTGCATGTATGCCGAATTCGCTATATCGAATTCAATATTACCAACGCTAATTATCGTGATATTACAACACGCCGTCTTACGACGCCTACCTTGTGAAACATGTCCTTCAGATCCTCCTTCGGTGCCGACCAAGATGCCACGGCGTCGCAGAAGAAGATGAAGTCCGGAACGACACCAGCTGGATTGACAGTGATCATTTGACACATACCTCTGAAGGCGGAATCCTTCTCTTCGTTATCTCTTATGCTTCGCAACGAAGTGCACCTAATGGATTTGAATTCACATCGACATGTGTCATTAGTGAGTGCGTTCGACTCTTCTTATCTAAGCGGAAGATATTTCGATCGGAATATCGTAGGGTTGCGACCCGATTTTGCTCCGGCGATTTAGGGAGGATCTCTTCCGGCCGTGTGTATCACGAAGATGCACACACACAAACGCCCCTTCCCACAGATTCATCACGATGATCGAAGTATCTTTCTTCAGATCGAGATGTCGTATAATATATATTTACATAGAGATATAATAATAACACGGCTCTAGCAAAAAGTGGACAACTATAGCCGTTTACTTTCATCTCCACAAGTCACCACACACATATGTTCTTTCTCTGATTCTTCCCCCCCCCCCCCCCCCCC